ATCACATAATTCTTTTGAGGATAAGCATGTGGTGAAACCAGGTCTAGCTAGGTAACAGTAGGTTAAACCAGTTTGGAAAAGTCCTCAGAGTCACAAACAGCTGAATCAAAATCAGCATGCGTTAAATCACCTTCATATTTAAAAAGTAACAAACATCATTAGGGTCTTTTGCAATAGTGAGAAAATAACATGCCTTTATTATATTCAACTATTCAAAACATACATAAAACTCATCAAGCCTTAACATAATTCTACAGTGAACAATCAGTGTTATTGTCTTGGTGTGGCCTGGTGAGACCAAGCAAATTAAATGTAAAATCCTCAAATCTCCATGGCAGTCATACACACTGACAAACTTGCATAACATATTTAGATCTGGGATATTTCATATTTCCTCAAACAATAGTGAACATGCCGATGTTAAAACCAAAGTTCCCTAAAGTAACTCTCTTTTTGGTTTGACTTGTCTGCAAGTTTAGGGTCCAATTCTCACTATTAACTAGTTGCTTATTAGCATGAATATTACTAGGATATTGGCTGGTTATTAAAGCACATATTAATGCTTTATTCTGCATGACCATATTCTACATCCCTAATCCTACCCAATACCTAAATTTACAACTACCTTATTAACTATTAATAACCAGTAATCAGGATTTTATTGAGGCAAAAGTCATAGTTAATAGTTAGTTAAAGCTGCAGTCCGTATCTTTTCCTCTTTGTCGCCATCTCTCTGTCCGAAATCTGTAACTGCAGTGATTCGCGGAATTATTATCTTTACGTGGGTTGTAAATCGGCATGAAACAGCGCGGATGAACACAGTGCTTTGAGGCGAGTGCTGCTGTCAGTCACCGCGCTGTGTGGATAATGTCATACAGAATCACAGATTCACTTTTTGAAAGTTTGACCAACATAAGAATTTTCATAAGAAAGTAGTAAAGTTAGTAAAATCCATTTTTGTTCTGACCAACTAAGGGGGGAAAAGCATTCGACATGATAAGCTTCGTTAGATTTAATCAACGCGATTTACAGCAACCGTGCAAATTATAGCCTACTTTGTTCTCAAATTGTTCATGTTAACAACATCAGCATTGCGTGACTAATGTTAAATTGAATGTGTTTTATGGTTAGCAGCTACCTGCGTAGTTCAGAATTCATATTCTACATAATAGCAAAACGAGAAAGGCACAACAAAGGAAACTCCATAACTGTGTGAATAAAGAAAACGTACTGTTACACGATTGAACTATTGAAATGTCTTAACTTACTTGTTCAGCAGAAAAAAGCCGTCTCTTCTTCCGTTTTGAACCCCTTCAAAACATGGAGTTCACGCACTTTTCAAAAGCCCCGCCGATGTTTAAAGCTGCAGTCCGTAGCTTTTCCTCTTTGTCGCCATCTCTGTTTGAAGTCTGCAATTGCAGTCATTCGCGGAATTATTAATTTTACGTGAGTTGTACATCGGCATGAAACAGCGCGGATGAACACAATGTTGTGAGGAGAGTGCGCGTCGCGGCTGTCGGTCACAGCGCCGGTGTGGATAACGTTACTGGCATTCAGAATCACACATTCTACTTTTTGGAAGTACAGGATGACCAACATAAGAATTTTCACCGGAAAATGTCATCTGAGTAACATTCACTTTTGTTCAGATCAACTACGGGGAAAATGCATTGATTGCACTGCAGTAAATCGCGCTGATTAAATCTAACGATCGCTTATCATGTTGAACCGTACAAATTATACTTTGTTCTCAAATTGTTAATGTTAACAACATCAGCCAATGTCATCCTGAACACAGTTACAGTTTTTATCAACTGATTTGACACCTTTCACAAAACTGTTCAATATTCACTACATAATGAATCACTTCATTTTATTCTAGTAATGCATTTATTAGATATAAATACTAACAACTACAAGTGTGTTCTCTGTTGATTTGATAACAAATTTGGCTGTAGAAACAGAAATACATGAATAAAAATACATGTTTATTCGTGAAGTTCTTTAATGAGGAGTTTAGTTTAGTATAACGTTTTCACCCAAAACTGATCTTGCTGGGCGCAGTGAATGCTAGATCCATCCTTGACATTGTGTCTCAACTTCTCAACCTCTTTGAATGGAAAAAAAATATATTGTTTTGAGTTTGGAGAAATGTGTCAAATTCAAACTGTAACACACAACTTGTGGACTAAGACAGGACAACAGGACAACTAAGGTGGAGGAAAGGCCAAGAAGAACATTTGTCTCTAATGATATCTGTGCTACTGTAGTTGACCATGTGCTTCTCTTACCTAAATCAGACTAAATACAAGAGGTGATTAAGGGATAAATGTGACTTCATATTTTTTATACAAAATGTTTATTTTTATTTTTATTTTTTTTACAGTTTTTCCCAATTGGTTCCACAGGTTTGCTGAATCGTTTGGCCCATTGTCCCAAAAGTCTAAAAACAAAACCACAAACACGAAATGCAAAACAAGAATCTATAGCAAATACTGCATTCAAAACTGTTACAAAATGTGTTTTTGCTGCAAAATGATATACACACATGATGATATCTATCTAACAACAACACACTGATGTGCTCAACACAAAACACTACATGAAACCCCGTCAGTAAGTTTATGCCTTTTGCATTGTTAGTGTTACACTGTAGCAGGTTGTAAAAGATTGTTACACTAATGTATACCAACTCAAATATTCATTGACACACAAATGAAATACAGTAACAAAAACTTTTGTCATTTACAGTATTTCCAAAATGCATTATTATTTATGTAACACTTGGGTTTTGAATGTAACACTTTCACATCCAAAAGGAGTAAACTAGGAAAAACATTCAGTAGGATAAAGGGGAAAATATTTTTTTTTTAAAGCCTAAACACTAAAATAATTAAACACATTCAACATGTAAACAAAAAACACAGCATGTCATCTTCATCACAAGCAATGTTGTCCCTGGCTAAACAGTGGGGAAAGAGTCTTCTGGCCGCAGGCCTGCACATCAACTTCATCATACGCATCTTTAGTGTCTGGAGAAGAGGCATGCTTGCATACTTGGGATGGCGGTCATACTCCATCATCATGCCAGGGAAAAAAAAGGAATTGGGAATATGTTGGGAGGAATATAACTGTCTTCACCCTTATCCTCCTCTTACTCTCACTCCTTCACCTCTAGCTCTTGCTTCACCATCGACTTCCATTTTCCTCCAAAAATAGTAAAAGCTCATCCAAGTAAACAATTCTGAAACTGTTTACAGCGGTGAGTGTGTTGCCAACTGGTGTAAAGAGCTCCGCATTGTGAATAGTGTTGCTTTTCAACGGGACTAAAGAGATATTAATTTTGAATTATTTGCCAAAAGTAGAGATCTGTGTGAGTTTTGCAAACAGTGTGATATAGAATTTATAAACTGAGTGTTAAGCTGGAACTGTGCTTGCAATTTTAAAGACTTGGTTTAGTGATTTGGTTCATGAGTTTCAGGTTTTGGTGGTTGTGTTTCAAGTTTTTGATTTTAGCGTGTGAACAATTGGAAAAGAAACTACTTTTTTTCCCATTTTACTTATACTGTATCTGGTTGAATATGTTATTAGTATGTTTTACAGTATTATGATTTAAAAATTCTTTACAGGTTTCATAACATTTAATGCTGTGCTTATTCATCCACACATAGACATATTTCTTTTCAAATAAAGATATTGTTCCCCAAAAAAACATATTGAGGAATTTATTTGATAGTACCTAATACTCACTATACTGTAATGTATGTAGATTAGAGTAGTATTATGTTGCAAATTTCAAAATGTAGGTTTGTGTACAAAAATAAATAAATCAATAAAGTAATAGACCATGATCATTAAAAAAAAAAAACTGCAATGAGTGGAAAGTGTAATTGTGTATGTGATGACTTTGTGAACAATTTGAAGCCAAAGTTGAAAAATAGTGTTTGATTCGTCATTAAAGTGTGCGCTTTGTATGTGAGTTTATAGTTTTGATTGTGTGCTTTCATAATTATTTTTAGTCTTATCCTCTACATAACTCTGTATGGGTTGTGTGTGAAATTCAGATCACTCTGACCGAAGAGCTTTTTATATTACAGACAGTTCACTGAGAACAATGTTGATCATCACAGAGATAGGTTAATGTTAATTGTTTGATTTGATTGTTGTTGTGTTACCCTTATGGGGTTTTATTTTATTTTTTTAACTAAACACAAAATATTTTTGTGTGTTCATTATTTACAGACAATGTAAAAATTTTAGCTTTTAAAAAAAATTGGCTTTCCTTGTTGCATGCCTGTCTCATTATGGATGTTATCATTATCTTTCACACTGGAGCCATACAGTCCATAATGTCAAATATTATATTCAGGTATTTTCTCAAGATTTGATTTGATTACAGCTGCTGAATTCATCCAATTGGCATCGACTTCAATGAGACAGTGATCCCATTTCATATTTTGACATAAATCAAACATGAATCAAATAACTCAATAAATTACCGTACGGCTAGGCATGTTCTCAAATGTCATATTTTATTCCTGTTTATATTTTTTGACCCAGTCATCTTTCCTTTGGTTCAGATAAACCTTCTAACCATGTTACAGAAACACATCCCCATGCTGTCATGTGCCAGAATATTTCACTTCTGGGTTGGTATTAGCCCTTTTCCTTTATTTACATTTGTGCATTTTGCATGCCAATTTTATTCATACTTGACAACTATTGCATTCAATGTTTACATTTTATTAGTTCATATATTTCCTGGAAATCAAACCCATGACCTTTATATGCCTTAATAAACTTAGTTAGGCAGTTAATTTAATACATTGTTGTAAAGCACTTAATGTGAATAAAAATGTTTGGAAATATGAGGGAAAAGCTCTTTAAATAAGAAAAAGAAAAAACTTGTAATGGTTTTGTAAAGAAATATTTATTCAGAACTAAAATGTACAGATTAAAAAAAAACATTCCTCCATATGATTGTGCATATTTTATAGATGTTTTTCTGCTAGTAACAGAAGTATTAGTAAGCTTATCTAAACGAAGAAATCACACTGGAAACTATATGCAATTAACAATAATGACAGCAGGAGGCGGTAAAGTTCCATGAATAAATGTTTCTCTTTGTGAACGCTGCCTCTCTGACTCAAATCAAAGCTTTGATTGGTGTCATAATAGTTATAAATGTTATGAAAATATTGATTGAAAACCTTTATAACATCCTCATTCACATTGCTTCTATACATACAATCAGCTCTAGAGAGTTCAAGCAAAATCATTACACATAATAAAATACACGTTGTTTTATCACTACCAACATTACATAGAGATGTTCAAATACAAGTCATGTAAGTATGTTTGATGCAATTTTAAAATTGTCATTATTACTTTAATTAAGTTAAAAAAATAAAAGTTCAGTATAAGGAGACTGTACGAAAGATGTGACTAAAGAGAATACATCAGTGATCCAAGGAGGTCTTCTTTCAGTCGGGATCAGGTAACATTAGACTTACTGTAGTCAGTTTGGTACCAGGATCCTCCCTGACAAAATAAAAATAACAATTTATTGACAAGTTAGATGACTGTACAGACATGCTATTATCAGGAATTCTCAACTCTGGCCCTCGAGGTCCTGCAGTGTTTGGTTTAATCAAACCTTGATCACCTTGATCATATTCTCCTGCCTGTAGCTTCTAGAAATCCTTAAGACCTTTATTACCGTGTTCAGGTTTGTTTGATTAGAGTTGGAGCTAAACTGGAAAGTCGAGATTCAGAGTTGAGAACCACTGATGTATATGGATGATTTGTTCTCATCTCCACTGACCTGATGATTTCTTCTTGTAGTAAATGAGTCCAGCAGCGGCTATGATGATTCCCAGCACCAGACCAGAGGATCCAATAGCAATTTTATTCCTCTCAGACTCTGGCATAGAGGGATCTGTCCGGTACACAAATCATGCTCCGTTAGTGAATGATATTAGTACATTATCAATATTTACATGTTTAATATTTGTTCAGTTGTGCAAGTGTAACAAAGAATTTCCATATTTCTATTTGCTCCTATAAATGGAAAGGAAAGAGGAAAGACTAGTAAATGTCTTACTCCAGTCTTTAACAATAGGTTGAGGTGAGCTGGCGTGCTCCACCACACAGGAGATCTTCTCTCCAGATTTAGGAGTGTATTCCAGCTGAGAGTGAATCTGGTAGTACCAGTTTCCATTAGCCATCTCCATTGTTGAGGTCACATCAGAGGTCATCAGTTTACCGTCTCTCAGCCAGGACACTGAGATTTTTTTAGGGTAGAATTCATATGCACTGCACATCAACACAGCTGGATGATTGCCTTCAGCCTGCTTCACTGAACTGAGCTTAACCTTCGGGAGTACTAAACCAGAAGAAAAGAAAATACTCACAAAATAGCTTTCAGTATTCTAATGTATAACACAAAAAAATTATAAATACATTAGGTGTCAAGTAGCTATAATACTTGAATAAATTAAACTATATGAACAACATGAATTATATGAACTATAAAGTAATTTCTTTAGATTTGGAAATGGATTATTGAGAAAAAAAGACCATACATGTTTCCTTATATTATTCAGTTTGGAACATTTTTGTAAAATAGCCCCTGTGTAAAGTTATTTAGTTGTAATATATATTTTAATGATTTTGTATTAAAAACAATCATAAATCACTGAAGGCAACCACATTGTACAGACACAACACCACCAAAACAACAGACTTCTGTTTTAATGCATTTTGAGTGTGTTTCTTCTGCAACAGTGAACACACATGTTAGAGATCTTTATTATGCAGTGAAGATGAGACAGGAGTCTTGCAGCACTCACCTGTTTTATCACGGACAGCTAAGTCATTGTTCTGAGCATTATTTCTGCAGACTGTGTCCACTGAAGCTTTCAGCCCCTGCAGAAGGTTCTGATCTTTGTTCAACCTCTCTGCCTGCTTCACTCCATCCTCAGTGACCCCCACAAACTTCCCCTCAGTGCTGTTGAACTGTAATTCCACAACTTTATTGAAGGACATTGACACAAGATACACCATATCACTGTAATCACTGGTGCTGTAGACGCATTCATCCATCCGATATTCATAATATCCATCAGCTGAAACATAAAAACAGAGTGTTAGATCTTCAGGTTTTGTATAATTGCATGTCAGTTATAAAAACTGAAGTACCTGTATTCATCTGCTATTTGCTATTACTTTGTGTTGGTGTAGTTACTGTGTGTTATAGATACAATCCCTTTAGAAATACACCACAACTACTGGCTCATCTCACTCATACCGGTATATTCTGAAATATTCATGATCATGTTTTATATAAGCAAGGCAATTGAATTAACAGCAATGACATTAACTACAAAACCAATAACAAAGATAAAAACTCATTAAAATGTATAAATCACAAGTTTACTGATGAATTAAGGCATTCAATGTGCTCAATGTTTCATTGTACTTGCCTGTTCCAATAAATGCAGACAGCATCAATATGGGAGGAAAAATCAAGAGTTTTAGCAGAGACATATTTACAGTCTATGAATACGCCAAGTGAAGAACTTTCTCTCAGTGCTTGTTCTTGTGGTAGAGGTCTAGTAATCTGGCGAATCAGCTTCTACTTACATAAATGTCAAGTGTTGCTAGGTGGAAAACTGCTTTCATTTTCCTCTTTTCATTGGACAATTACTGTGTGTGTGCATAAAATATATGTGTATATAGCCATAACAATGTACTTAAAAATGTACAAATAATTTACATTTATTTTATCTGTGTAAAAAAGGAACAATAACAATTTTACTTATCTTTATTTGTTTGACCTTCATTGCAAAAGTTTGATTTCAGTACTCTGCTCATGGAGAACTAGATATGTCTTAGAAAATATACAACAGTTATACCACAAATATGAATTTTATATTAATTATTAATTTATATTAATATTAATATTAATATTTTAATGTATCATTTAATTTATGTGTGCCTGGTTTACAAAACAATCTGCAGTGAAATGCTCCAAACAAACATTTAATTCCCTTTGAGAACCTTTAAAAATAAACCATCTAATTCTTAATACTGCTGGAGTCCTTCGCATGTTTTGGCAGTAAACACAATCTTGTTAATAACTACAATATCATTCATACTGACAAGCAGCCTTTGGAGTTTCATGATTGGCAGCTGCCAAGCAACTCCCTAGCAACCAAAAAGAGTACCCTAGCAACCATTTTGCAAGACCTATGTCTCTGCATCAGAACATCGTGAAGAGATGGGGGTTGGCTCTTCTGACTAAATTATGGTAAATCATGATAGAATCATGGTAAATCATACTAGAACATGGGGAATCATGGTAAACTATAGTACTATGTTAAATCATGGTAAACTATGGTAAATCATGGTAAACCATGCTAGCATGATGGAAAATCGTGTTAAAATAATGCTAGCAACATGCTAAGCATGCTAGCATGATGCTAGCAACATGTTAATCATGTTACCATCATGCTAGCAACATGTTAATCATGCTATCATGATGCTAGCTACAAGCTAATCATGCTAGCTTCTTGCTAAAACATGATAGCATGATGCTAGGAACATGCTAATCATGCTAGCATAATGCTACCAAAATGCTAATCATGCCAGCTTTTTGCTAAAAATATGCTAGCATTATGTTAGCAATATGCTAATCATGTTACCATCACACTAGCAACATGCTAATCATGCTAGCATGATGCTAGCTACAAGCTAATCATGCTAGCTTCTTGTTAAAAACATGATAGCATGATGCTAGAAACATGCTAGTCATGCTAGTATGATGTTAGGAACATGCTAATCATGCTAGCATAATGCTAATCATGCTAGCTTCTTGTTAAAAACATGCTAGCATGATGTTAGCTACATGTTAGTTATGCTAGCTTCTTGCTAAAACATGCTAGCATTATGCTAGCAACATGCTAATCATGATGTTAGCAAAATGTTAACCATGTAGCATGATGCTATAGCTACATGCTAATTATGCTAACTTCTTTTGTTAAAAACATGCTAGTATGATGCTAGCAACATGCTAATCATGATAGTTGATGCTAGCAACATGCTAATAGTGTAAGCATAATGCTAGCAACAAGCTAATCATGCTAGCTTCTAGGTAAAAACATGCTAGCATAATGCTAGCAACATGCTAACTACAAATGCTAATCATGCTAGCATCTTGTTAAAAAATGCTAGCATGATGCTAAAAACATGTTAATTATGCGAGCTTGATGCTAACAACATGCTAATTGTGTTAGCATAATGTTAGCAACAAGCTAATCATGCTAGCTTCTTGGTAAAAAAATGCTAGCATAATGCTAGCAACATGCTAGCATCTTTCTAAAAACATGCTAGCAACATAATAAAGTTAGCTAGCATGATGCTAGCTTCTTGCTAAAAACATGTTAGTATGATGCTAGCAAAACATGCTGATCATGCTATCATGATGCTAATTTTGTTACCATCTTGCTAAAAACTAGATAACCGCTAAAACCCTAGCAACCGAGTGGCGAGTTTTGCCACTGCATGCACCCACTCACATTTTCTTTAGGAAATGTACAAGTTCTTAATACTGCTGGAGTCCTTCGCATGTTTGGCAGTAAACACAATCTTAGTTAATAACTACAACAACTGTCTCCTTGAAGTGTCCAAATGGTTGTCCAAAGTGTCCAGGTATACTACTCTCTCTTCAGGGTGATGCTCTAAATGGCCCTATTTCTTAAGTTGTTTACATTTTTAATCATGTTTGCTTTTTTTCAGTTCACTTACAGTGTTTCTCAAATATTTTATTGTCATTGCTCATGAAAAAACTATTAACATATCCTTTAAATGCTTTGTAATTTTATCAAAACACTGCAACAAAATGTATCAAATGTTTTTAAAATATTTAATACGTCCAACCAATAACCACCTGCAGAGAGTGATGCTGGTAATAGACAGTGAGGACACTGAGATTTGGAAACTTGTATTTTTCCAGAATCAGTGCCCAGTGTGAATGTAGCTAGTGGAAAGAGCAAGAGATGCTTTCTGCATTTATCCTCTTCTCACTTCCGTAATCTAATAAACATTCCACTGTATTATGAATATTGTTGGCTCTTTGACAAAGCTATTGTTTTCTTTTAATGTTTTGTTTTGTTTTGTTACTTTGGAGTTGGATGACTGCGCAAGACATTACAAATACATAAATACATCTATATTTATGATGCTGGCTCCGACAAAAAAGAGGAGGAAGAAGAAGAAGAGGGCCATATACACACAGAAAGGCTAATACATTTTTAAACTCTCTCAATGAAAGCCTATTTCCACAGGATGATCGAGCAAATTTAGTGGTGTGCATCAAATGTTTTATCAGCTTTTTAGTTCTTTTGAAAACTTGGACCATTGTTTGAAGAAATGTATGAAATCGGTCAAGAAAAACTAAATAGTCCTGCAGTGTGGCAAATGTTTTTTTTTAAGTAGGCTACAAGTCTCTGAAACAATATTAGCTCATAAAACTATGTATAATAATTATACAATAATTGAAAAGATTTAAGGTTTCTTAATTGCCATGGTTTTATTTTCAGTCATGAGCAAATTGTGTCTTCAAAAGAAAATCTTACAAAAACAAAAACTGACCATACACAGCAAATCATTCATTTAAAACATGCAAAACATACATTTGAATGTTTTCCTTTCATGTAATCATGGCTTTAAAACCCGTAGACATTTATGTAATGAGAACATTTAAATTAATAACCAAAAACAACAAAATTATTGTCTTTCATTTGCTCAAATATTTGGTTATTCAGTATCAAACAATTTTGCACGAAACTTGTTTCATATAAATTTTAGAGATGCTGTTTGACTACTGTTAAACGCAAGTACTGTATACTCATCACCTAACCAAATTGACGTGAAAATCCAATTAAAGGCATAGTAAATTAGCCAATTAAAGGCAAATAGTACCAAAGCGAATAAAAAAAAAGATTTTAGTTTAAAGATGGCACATATTTCAGGACACATGCTTTCACTTGAACAAACTTGTCATAAGACAAAAACAACACGAAAATAAATTGTAGGATGTCAGAAGTATTTATTAGTTGCAAAAAAATATAAAATATAAGAAACAAACAAACCAATCAAATTATGTGTGTGTGTACAGGTTTCTCTATACTTGTGAGGGTCCTTGTGAAGTGTCCTCACTAACATACCGTAATGCAATGTCATAGAAACTGTTTTACATCTGATGTGTCCTCACTAAAAAGGCCAATTAATGGTCCAGATGATGTTACACTTTAAATCTAATAATGTGCACAGGCTTTTGTGAGGGTTAACTTTGGGGTTGGAGATATCATTCTTCTGATATAAAAACAATGGAAGTCTATAAAATGTCCTCATAGTTTCTAAGGTCTGTAGGATATCAGAGATTCACTGTGACACAGCAATGCATGGGCAACCTGAGTTCAAAGTCCTCTTGTGATCTAGTTTCTCCTCCCATTATGTCCTGTCTCTCTTCAACTGTTCTGTCCAATAAAGGCAAAAATGCCAGAAAAAAATTATAATAAAAAAAATCATCATCATCATCTATTACAAATGATTTTGGCCAATAAACTTCCAGTAAGCATTTAATACATATACATGTATAGAATGTGAGTTAATGTTAAATATAAACAAATGTTCTAGGTAAATGTGCAGTAAATGAATATTATTTGTCCAGAATATTGTTTGTTACACTGTTTATTTTGTTTAATGTCAGAGCTGTCTGTGGACATTAACTTGTACTGTAAAACATTTGTACTGCAGAACTGTACTATAGCACATCGACTCTTACTTTATGAAAATAATAAACTGAAGGATGAATTATTTTTCATTATTATCAGTTGAATGTGAGGATCCACTCGTTTAGCGACCTTCTATTAAATGCACCTCAAAAAGTTGTATGGCATGTTTGTCTTAATTTTTAATGGAAAAATTAAATCATGCTGTGTCAGAACAATAATTCAACTAGGACCCTAGCCACATTTGAACAGTTTTTCATGTACAATGGCACACCAAATGATTGTTTTTAGTACTAAAACCTTAATTTACAAATGACTTTAATTGGAGGAGAATGTTAATTAGAAGTTCAAAAAAATCTGAATTACAAAATAAGAACGTGTTAATTTTTAAATCAGTTGCAGTTGTTCCCTTTAATGAGGAAGAAAGTTCCAGCAGCGACTCCCAGCAGTCCCAGAGTCAGACCCACTCCACAGAACACAGCTGGACCAACACCTGGGAGGGCAACATTAACATCTGAAACATACAAGCACATGATGATGCATGTGTCACCGAATGTAAGTGCATGTATTTAATGTTTAAAGTGACATTTTTAGAGTTGTACTTTTGACATTTTCTTCCTAGATATGTCTTCCTAGTAATTAACTGGATTTATGACACTGTGTTTATGAGTAATGTCTCAAGAAGATATATTTTTAGGACATGTTTGTGCTAAATTGTTTGAGATGATTTTTGTTGTAATATATCAGTTGATCTAAATTTGTGAACAATTAGGATTAATAAAAATCATACATCCACTGAATCTATGAAGCAGTGTCTCACCCCATGTTTTGGTTTGAGGTTGGCCTGGAATGGATTTGTGGTTCACAGTGCAGCTGTAAATGTCTCCCTCTTTTGGCATGAACTTCAGACTGGAGAAGATGTTGAAGGTGCCGTCATCTTTTCTGCGGTACTGGCTTAGACTCATGCCTTCTGTCACAATCTGATTGTTTTTAGTCCATGACACATTGACAGGTGGAGGGAAGAATCCAGTCACATGACAGATGAGGGTGTTCTCAACATCCTGAACCACGTCATCTTCTGAATAGATGGAAGTATCTGGGATGTCTGTGAACACAGAAATAGATGCTGATTTGTATTTGGGACCTCTGTGTACATTTTATCTTGGACCACAAGAAAAATCTTGCAAACCAAAACTCTTATTATATTGGTTATGGTTTCTGCAGCAGATTTCTTTGCATCTCCAAAAAAGTAAACTTTGAATTATTATTATATTCATCATGTAAAAATATAATAATTATATGCATTGTGTATGTATTACCTAGTCGCTCAACAGGGGATTTGTAAATCTGAGTGTGTACTTGTAAGTTTTGTTTGCAGACCTCTAGTTGACCAATACTATTCTCATAAAATCCAGGAAAGCTGATAGGATCTCCAAAGTCAGGCAGTGTCACTACTCCTTCTTTTCTAATGAAGTCTGAATGACACTGTTCCTCTCCATCAAATCCCATCAAAAATTCTTTCTCTGTATCAGAACATCCAGTAAATATAAAATCCCTGTGCACAACTAAAACAGAGAAAGTGTCAGGATATTAGCCAGAGTGGATAAACATGGATGAATAACAAAGGATGAACTTTATCTGATGTGAAATCAGTACATTGATAGTATTTAGAAACAAATAATTTAAAACAACATTGTTTCTCAACCCTAAAAAGTACTTCTGAATAGATAATATATTATATTGAAGGATCTAAGGATTCAGTAGCAACCTTTGTGAATAGTTTTAAGAGAGCCACCATACATTTAGTTTTATTTTATTTTAAATATCCATTCATTTAATTTCCATTGAATTATTCCATTTAATCATATAATCATTTATTATACATTTTTAATCCATTGTCCATTTTTTTATAATTTCACTGACTCATTCATTGATCAGTCATTTTATAATATTTTCCTATTTAATCTTATGTTGTGTATTGTGTTGTCTTCACAAATGTCTCTATCTAAATGTTTTAATGCCATATGATGTTGTGATGCATTTTTCATTGCTTTGGAATAATAACACTTCAATTTGTGCTGGTCAGACCATGTTTGACTGAGCATTGACACAGCCACAAATAAAAGTAGTTAACGTTAACGTGGCTTCCTCTGTCTGACTCTTAGGCTGATAGAAGGCTGTTAATATAATATCATACAGAATACAGTGTAGTTACTTATTTTGGGTATCAGACAAGATTCTGCTGATAGATTTTTGGTACCAGACAAAAAACTTTAAACATCTTTTGGGGAATTTAATTTTCCTCTTAATTATACTTGCTTATCTACTTTAACTTTATAAAACATCAGATATAATTGTATTAAACAGTTTTCTGACTTACCTTGAGTCTCAGTTCTCACAATAACAGCAAGCATAAGCAGGACACCATACATCTCCATTGTTCATGCAGAAGTGAGTAGAGCAAACACACATCAAACAGTCCTGGAGTGAATAACAGATAGAGCTGCTGATCTCTGATCATGAAGAAGCCTCCCAATCACAGCGTCCAATCAGAAAATGAGCCCTACTCTGACATCACTGTATCCAGTTAAAATCATGTTCTGTTTCAGACTTGTTTGGTTGCTAGGACGTAGGTTTATTTACTATATCTGTATTATATTCTGCTTTCCATTTTGATATCTGTATTTCAAAAATCTATTAATAATATTTATTTACATGTATAAAAGTATTTTCATGCATTTATGTGAATGTGTGTGCGTGACGTTTATGTGTAATGGAAGCTTCAATTAAGGTAAATTCCTTGTGTGTGCAAGCACACTTGGCAAAGCTTTCTGATTCTGATTTCACTCAACATATAGGCCTACCAACGCAGATTAAGCAGCAAATTACTATAACAAATTTACAGAATTAGAAGTTCTAGAAAGTCCACATTTTGGATGTTTTAATACTTTCAAATGTTTTTTTTTTTCCTTTTCTTTAATGCAGTCCTTGATCCTTATTTTATTTTTAAAACTTCATCTGAACACTGTTAGAAGTTGGAAATGTTGCTAAAGCGGAAAACCTCAGAGCAAAAGTCCAATCCAGCCTGCCCTGGAAACCTTATCAAGAACTCTTACAAATTAAGATTTTTGTAACGACCACTAAACTGATTTTGCTAACCAATCTGCTACACTTTGTTTCATATGTCTCTAAATGCACTCAGCATAATCTACTCGCATAGAAAAAAAAGGCCTCTTACAACAACAACAAAAAAAGCTTTTTTCACACTAACCTAATCATTTTGAACATTGCAAAATCTGAACCTTTGATACTGTAAGTTTAAAACTATCTCTGAATGTCTATATTTTGCAGTACTGTTTTGGGAAAATATATCATTGAGAAACGTTAAATAAAAATGGTTTAAAAAAAAACAATATTTTTTTTTTTAATTAACCAAAAAAAAAAAAGTAAAAAAAAAATGTTTGCATAGAGAATGTGAAATCATGAAACGGTTCATCTATTTCATGAGACATCACTGAATGACCATGCTGCCATAACTTTGACCAAATCAACATACCTTTAGTATGCTGCGTTGTGAGATGTGACTACTCATTGAAACATTTGTATTTAGTGATAAAGAAATACATATTTTTGGTATGCACTGGTTAAGTTTAGCCCGGGTATTAATGTAATAGAGGTCAACTGAAGGCAAGCTTGGAGACCCCAAATGTAGTTTATTCTAGGGATGGCTGACGCGAAACAGTCGTTCCGAAGCTTTGCGAGATCCCGAAGCGCAGATGTTTCGAAACACTAGGCTTGTTTGAGATGCGCCTTGCCTCGCCTGAAATGTAGTCGAGAGTAGGCGGCTGCAGTGAGAGGAGGAGTGAAAAAAGCGCAGGCAAGCCGGACAGATCGCTCTTCTCGCAGTGGATAGGTGTGTTCGACATCGGCTGCGGCTGGATGTAACTGATCGGCGAGAGTAGCCGCGTGCAGGCGGGGAGGAGCTGCAAACGGAGACGTGAAGTCGGACACTTTCTGGTTCCTGTAGTGACCGCTCACGTGGTGTTTGTATACTTTAGCACAGCTGAAGTGAAATAAATGCAATATTTGCCAAATACACAGATGTTTCAGAGACATTTTCATTCAATACTTAATGTACTGCTTCATACAGCGTTTGTTTGAACAAGAATAAAGTTCAACATAAGCCTACAGCTACTATCAATGAAGTGGAATCAACGTTTTTTAATCAGTTTTATTTTGATAAACATAACACAATACATCGCGACTACATGAAAAGAGTGTTTACTGTTATAAAAAAAACTGATTTGTGAGCTTTAGTGGAACTAAAGGTGTGAGAATAAACCGAATAAACACGAAACGCACGTGATCGTTGTCATGCGGTGAATCCGGCCAATCGTGGAACAGCTGTGTCGTCATCAGAGCTCGTGCAGCCCCGAGCAGCCGCTCTTCAGAAGCTGCGCTGGCTGAGTTCTCCGGCTGCTCTCGAATCGCTCTCGCGGTATTTTGATGGCATACGTCACAGTCACGTGGCGTCGGCGCTGTATCAAGTCGGACAACATTTCTAACCGGCATGCACTGCTTCAAGTCAGCCGCCGATCGGTCTGCGCAGAGCTGCATGAAGTCGAACAAGCCTGATCTGACACCCACCTGTGAGATCAAAGGCGGATATCGCGGGATTCACACTCGTGCACGGTGTTGCTAATAAACTGGATGTATTTTAAGTTTTGTTGCTTGAATATGAAAATAAATATAATGAACAAGACACCCAAAGTACTTATTTAATTCCATTTTAAATAGGCCTATATGTTTATGAATCATTTTTTTTCTTTACAGATATGTGTTTTTATTTTTAATTTTTATTTTTATTACATCACATAGATCGCACTGTCAGAGAGTTTGGGGATATCCACACATAATCTATACACATAAAACATGATATCAGAGTTTTAAAATCAAACATTTTAAAAGAGAACAATACATCACGGTTGTTTAAACCAATGAGCATTAAGCTGTGCCGTCAGCAAGTCGTTTCCCATCATGCTTTTGATCAGCGCAGTCGGTGGAGAGCAACTGCGCGCGACTGCAGAATCCGACACGTGCGCCTTGCGGTCGCGAGAGTTTTTTGACACACGTCAGCATGACATCAGAGCAAGGCGGACCGCACTCGGACACATTTCTAACCGGCATGCATCTCGCGCTGATCACCGGTGATCGGTTCTGCGCAGATTTTAGGCTTGTTCGACATCGGCTGCGGCTGGATGTAACTGATCGGCGAGAGTAGCCGCGTGCAGGCGGGGAGGAGCTGCAAACGGAGACGTGAAGTCGGACACTTTCTGGTTCCCGTAGTGACCGCTCACGTGGTGTTTGTATACTTTAGCACAGCTGAAGTGAAATAAATGCAATATTTGCCAAATACACAGATGTTTCAGAGACATTTTCATTCAATACTACTGCTTCATACAGCATTTGTTTGAACAAGAATAAAGTTCAACATAAGCACAGCTACTATCAATGAAGTGGAATCAACTTTTTTTAATCAGTTTTATTTTGATAAACATAACACAATACATCGCGACTACATGAAAAGAGTGTTTACTGTTATAAAAAAAACTGATTTGTGAGCTTTAGTGGAACTAAAGGTGTGAGAATGAACACGAAACGCACGTGGTCGTTGTCATGTGGTGAATCCGGCCAATCGTGGAACAGCTGTGTCGTCAACAGAGCTCGTGCAGCCCAGAGCAGCCGCTCTTCAGAAGCTGCGCTGGCTGAGTTCTCCGGCTACTCTCGAATCGCTCTCGCGGTACTTTGATGGCATACGTCACAGTCACGTGGCGTCGGCGCTGTATCAAGTCGGACAAAATTTCTAACCGGCATGCACTGCTTCAAGTCTGCCGCCGATCGGTCTGCGCAGTAGCCTGGCACGCCAGACCTACATCAAGATGTTAGGTCTGGGAACTCATCATTGACAGGGCTCAATCTGATGGGCGGGATAAACGGTTGTCTTTCAAATTCTCTCTGCACGCAATTGGATAGCGCTACAACCAATCAGAGCAACGAAGAAGGGGACGTAGTCAGCGGAGCAAGTTGATATATTAAACTTCTACCGTATCCAGTCCATAGCTGTCAACATTGAACATTGAAAATAAGGGAGATTTCCAGGAATCCATCTCCAAAATAAGGGATTTTTTTTGTTTTTTACACGACCCACAAACTTTAAAAATAAAACAATAATCATTAAAAGTCTAAAGAGTTTATAACTAGCCTATGTGTGAGAGAGAAAGAGACAGTGTGTGTGTGTGTGTGTGTGTGTGTGTGTGTGTGTGTGTGTGTGTGTGTGTGTGTGTGTGTGTGTGTGAGAGACAGAGAAAGAGTCATTAAACATTTTTTTGTCATTAAAAAAATAATATCATAGAGAATGTTTAAATACTAATATCAGCTTACGAGGGAGGCGGAGTAGTGGTGCTTCGGAGTGCTGGAGATGATTCGGAGGTCCTTTACCGATCAGAGCGCGCGCTGACACGGAGTAAATAAAGCCTTTATACTCGACGCGTCCGCACGAGTGCGGCAAAAATGACAAGTTGATCGTTTCGCCACAGCTTTTTTGTAACAGCGCGCGCGGCGCCGCATCCGAGGATGAATGACTTCAAACCGAATATGTCCGAGCTTGCTCTGACCGTCGCAACTCTGTCGTCATTATGTTAAGCCCGCCCGCCAACTCTATACACGATGTGATTGGCCCGGCAAGGTTTGGGGTTTTCCAGCTAAACCGTCTATGGAGAGTTGCTAGACCACACTTTGCGGCGAAATGATTTTTGCTGCCGCTAGGGTGCGTCTAGATTTCTAGGCTATCTGCGCAGAGCTGCATGAAGTCGAACAAGCCTATTGCTCATCTCAAACAAGCCTACTGATTCGAACCGTGATTCAAAACACCCATGTCACGTGACTATGGCCAAACGAAGCCTCGAAGTGTTTCACAAGTGTTTCATCGGGTTTGATAGGGTGTGATCCGCCGAATCAGCGTTTGATTGACACGGTCGGAAACAGACCACACAATCGCACATCTGTATAAAAGTGAAATCAACGCATATTGACCTCGTGGGTTTTTGTGAGAGGAGTTTGATTTTGAGATAGCGGATTTTTGGTGATAGCCTATAGTGACATTTATAGTGCGATTTGTTTAGTTAGCTATATTTAGGCTTACATTTAAATTTACACAACACATTGACTGATAGGCTAGAGACACAGAGTATAGGCCTACATATAGTGACACATTAATAGATACATAGATATAAATATATATATAGACAGCTAGATTAATAGATAGATACATATATAGATAGATTAAAGATAGGCTACATAAATACATAGATAGATTATAGATACATAGATTATAGATACATATCTAAATACATAGATTATAGATACATATTATATATACATATCTAAATACATAGATAGATTGTAGATACATATATCTAATTACATAGATAGATTAGAGATACATATC